CAATCAAAAAGAAGCGCATATATATATATATATATATATATATATATATATATATATATATATATATATATATATATAAATAAAACGTATAGCTGTCCATGATTTCAGACAGTTGTTTGACATCAAATCATAGGTTACATCGGGAGAAAATGCCTTACCAGGGTAGTGATGTTCCAAGTGCAGACTGTTTCTGTTGGCCTCATTTTAAATGCTCTTTCTGTATAAACTTACCTGAAGCAAGCAAAATTAAGAAGGATTTCTTAAAGTGAATGACCTGAAGGCTACCTTTATGCCAAAGGAGATTACTTTGACTTCATGCAAATATTTAAATGTACTTTTGGAGGAAGCACAATTTGCTCTTAATTTTTTTTTTGTACGTTTTTTTCCCTTTAATTAATAATTTCAGATGACTTGTTCCCCTTCAGTTTCATGTTCAAATAGGCAAGAAAATTCTTAATAAATGTATTTTTGTAATTTGCTTATGTGCTATGACTCAAGTGGTCTGGTTGTACACTGTTATCAAGTTCTATTATCTAACCTCCCACTCACTTAACTTCTGAGACATCATATAAAATAGCTTTTATCTCGTACAGGTAATAATGTCAACAATGAAACAGACTCTTTGGTGGTGCATCTCCTTACGCTGCAGTATATTAGAATTTATCCAAAAGAATGTTGTGCAGTTGTAAAGTTAGTGAGCTGTTATGCCCCAGAAGCACTGAAAATGACAAATGAAAGAAAAGAGATTCTGTTATTTTATTTCTTAGGCTTATTCCAAAATTGACAACATATTTGGCTTAAGTAAACGCAAAATCTTTTTGTGTTGAAGCACTTATTTGGAGGAGGTCATGAACGGATTTCTTCTGGCTTTCAGAAACACATGCTCTTGCTCAGCGGAGCGCCAGAGCAACATTGATGAGCACACACTCGCCATAACAACTCAGCCAATCACTGAGGACCTCCCAAAGAGTCTTGATGACATTTGGTCTGGTAAACAAGGCCTTTGAGTTTTTAACCCACCTCAAAACATCCCTTGAGGTGATGTTTCCCCAAATGTTCAATTTTCAGCCAGGCCATCTTATCACAGTCTTCAACGGGAACTGCGTCATGTTTTGGAAGTCGAATTGATTGAGTCAGCGTGTTCAGTAAATGAAGTCATCATAGATTTTCCAATACTCATCTTCTGCATGGAGGGATGGACAGCTTGAATATCGAAGGTCCTCAACTATCAGGCTTCATTTTAGGAGTGGGAACCCAGGGAGAAGCCAAATTGCTAACATGATCTACATGCATAGAAGCACAGTGGAGGTTAATTGTCATTTCCTCCTGAGGATGTTTACCAATATCTTCAATGTTTTCCTTTTCCATCTGGTCACTCAAGCTGTTTTCCAGGATTTTGCAGTTTAATGGAACATCTGAGTGGGAACATCATCATCTCAGTGTCAATGTTTTTACTCTGATATGTTAGCCAAATGTTTGAAGTAACAAAGTATTAAATAATATAGCAAACAGATGGCACTTTCCATTTGCATTCTTTTGTTTTAGCATCACCTTGGTCAAAATAATCCACACTAAAGATGTCCTAGAGGTAGAATTACACACCACTAATAAAGCGTTTATACGGTAACCAAATGTCTGGTGCACTGCAGAGTTGTAGAACATCAAGTGCTTTGCACATCCTACAGTAATTATGGACACCATCGTGATGCATACCACTCTCAATGCATTTTGCACATGCATAATTCAAGTGGGACTGGAGAAAGCTTATGTAGATTGCTGAAGTGAAGCGAGTAAATCATTCAGAAATGGGTCCAATGACAAAAACAAGGTTCAAACGCACACTGAAGCCATATACAAACTGCAGCCAAAGATCTGGACTGCATCCAGGGCTTTGAAGCAAAATAAGGGTATATTACAGAGTTGGACCTTGTGAAACGCAAGCTTTCCTGAGTTTGAAAGGAGCTCTGCAGATGTGCCGATTAGCTCTCATGAAAGCCAAAGGGAATCGCTCCAGTGAGCACTTGACAACAGCTTCAATCAACACGCATTTCGATTCTGAGTGAGACTTAAGTGTAAGAAGTAAATGTACCTTAACTAGCATGTGTGTAGTGTAAAATATAAGGGTAGGGAGGCAGCATATGTAAATAACCTCTTATATATTCACTTAGGTAGTGGTTCTCAGTAAAGATGACTACTAGAAGGCTGCAAGTATTTCAAAACCATTTTAAAATGATCTTTCAAAATAATTCATAATAAACTTGATGACGATAATCTTTGCACGGTAGTTCTTAATTTAAGTCCTGTTTTTCAGGTCATTAAGATCAGAGAGATGAAAGCTGTGTTTCTTGTATATTAAATACATTTACAAAACTTTGTTTTAACAAAACACCCCATTTTCTCATAGTTTACTCCGTGTCCACTCTCGACCTCAGTGCAGAAATTTGGTCATGTGTTTCTTTTTGCTGGTCCTACTGTGCAGACAAATCTGCCCAGCAAAATGGACAAAATGTCCTCTCAACATTTTAATTCAAGAACACAAAGTTCTTGAGACTTCTTTATTGACAAAATGTTCAAATGTTTTGCTTTTCTCAGATTTTTTTAATGTTACAATTTCACACAAATATTGTATGAGCTGTACTGATAATATAGCATTTATTTCACTAAAGATAGCCTGGTGTTCAAAAATGTGCCAAAAACAATCAGAAATTAAACCAGAGTTCCAATTAAATGTAAAAGAAATGCTTATCTGGTTTTCTGTGGCTTGTGTGTGTTTTGCAGTGTTTTTCTGCTTCATGAATTCAATTAATGCAAGTATTTCTTCACTTCTGTCTGAAAGACTGTCATTAGAGTAGCACAATCCATTCTGCAGATGTGTTCAATAGACTCTTTTGTCAGGGCACACCAGTCTAATACTTGTGCTTAAAAATCAAAGTTTAAGTCTTTATTTTAAGGAGATATATTATTATCATCATTATTATTATTAATAATAATATCATTATCCCTACAAATACATCCCGGCACTTTGAAAAATGTTTTCTTTCTTTTTGTCTTTGTTAAAACAAGGCTAAAAATATCCTATGGTGAAAAAATAAAGCAAACGACAAACGATTTAAACATAGAGAAAAAGAGAAAATCACAAAAAGACAAATAAAACTATATAACAAAATCGAAAAAAGAAATTCTACATCCTTTACAAACACTATGGCCCAATAATTTAAGAAAATAGTGTCTCTGAAACGTTCATATTGCTTTATACCTTCATCAGTGCCCTTTAGGGAGTTCAGCAATACAGTGCTGTGAACGGCCAGAAGGGGACACCCTCCCCCGGGCTCTGCACTCACCTCCACAAGGAGGTATCTTTGAGGAGAGAGAGTCTAGTTATTAGCTTGTTTAATCCTCAGCAAAATGTCTTTTTGTGTTCTTTTGGCAGTAGAGAAAAAAAAATACAAGGTATAGTTACTATTCCTCATGATCATGGAGTATTCACCATTGTTGCATTTAGCATTATTACTCTCTAAGATATTATTACTATTACTATCACCATCACGGATACACAGAGTGCATCGTGTGTCACGTGTGTGTGTGAACGTGTAAGTCAAGTGTTCAGTGCTCAGAGCTTGTTTTCTCAAAAGAGAAGCTAGGCAGAGTCAATAGCTTGGAGTTCGGGATGCCCTCTTGAGGCAGCCCATCTCCTCCTCCACCCAAATCAAACGAGTCCTTGGAGTCACTGGAGGGAGCGCGCCTCCTCAAGCAAGTGTCCCGAATTGGCAACGGGGGTGGCATTATCCCCAGAGCAGCATGAAAGCCTCCCGGAAGCTCCGAAACCTCGGGCGGATCCACAGAGATGCACGGCGGACTCATCTTCTTCTTGCGGGTGCGTGGTGAGGATTGCTGCTGAAGGCTATCAGCTCGTGAGACGAAGCCGGAGGAGCTCGAACTGCACTGGGGGCTGCTTTCCACGGACGAGTACACCTCGATGGAGTGCCGACGTGGGTCGACAAGCCAGGACAAGGGCCGTGGTAACAGCAGAGCTCGCTGGCCCTGAGTGTCCACGCTGTGGTACTTCTTAAGCTGACGTCTTGCACCTTGATCTCCTGTCCCTTCTCCGATCCCATCATCGCTCCTCCCTGCAAGCCCCGCTCTGATAATTCGGGATACCTCCTGATCCACCGAGTCCATTTCCTCCTGCTTTCTGGTGGCTGGAGATGGGAGGGGCGGAGAGCGGGAGCGCCTGGAGAACACGTTGTACTGGTCGTAGGGGTTGTGCTGCGTGTGGACGCAAGGTCCTGACGGTTTTGGGGAGGCGCCTGGTGTGGCAGGGACCAGAAAGAGGGAAGGCTGGTGCTGCTGCTGAGGTGGAAGGTTGACAGGGGGGTCAGACAGTTCCCTGAGCCCCAGGGGACCCTCGTTTTCCCCTCCCTCTGTGTATAGAGTCTCCTGAGAGTCAGCACTCACTGCCACCTGAAGAGAGCAGGGACGGGAGGAGGTGAGGGGAAGGTAAGGGGTAACATTAGGGATTAGGACATGAACAGGTGAGAGGGAGACTGGTTAGTATGAGATGTTAGGGGTGTAGAAGCCAGTGGAAGGGGAGGGGAGCCGTGGAGTTAGAGTGGAGTTCACCATTAGCATTGCACTCCACAAGCTCTCTTCTTCAAAGGATTGGAGGTGAAATTAGAAAAATAGAGAGACTGCCTCAGGGCATCTGTTTTGAATGCATTCATTGCTCCAATCAGAGGTAGCCAACATTTAGAATCTGATGTTGGCGTTCTTCTTTTTTAAAAGTTTGTATCAAACTTGAATGTATCAAATGAAGTAAATCGCCACAAAATGTACCAAAATGCCCCAGGCACACATTAAACCTTTAACTGACAAAAATAGTGCTTAAATTGAGCTAGAAAGTTCAATAAAACTTGCGTAATAGCAGTTACACATTCTGAAGTAACATTCTTAATACAACAACCAGTTAACCACCAGTTGAAAACATTCTTAGACCTATATGTCTCATGGGCGGTCCTAGGGATGGGCTTCCAGGGCCTATGCCCCAATTGTTTTTGAGTTTTGTGTTGAGCAAATTGAGCAATTGAGTTTTAATGTCAGGTCTCTAGTCATCTGCTCTATAAATCAGACATAATGAAGAAACTAGAGGATCTATTGACTTTTTGGTAAGAGTTGCACTCCATCCAGATGCAATAAGCACCATATATTTTACAGACAGAACGGAATATACTTTTGTACTCAAGCCTGACCATTTGCAGCTCTTGGAAAACTCTTTTATAAAGACCATGACCAAGGCCATGAACTTCACAAGCTTTGGTAATGCAGCAATGTTTCCCTCAAAAACGCTCATATAAACAGCTAACTAACTTAACCAAACCACTTGCAATGACAAGTGAAAGTCATGACACTACTGTCAACCTCTACACAACTATGGAAAGATTGAAGGGATGCATGGAATTTTTGGCATGCATAGAGATAAGACCTTTTTATTTTTATATATCCAGTAATATATAAATATTTACTTCATAAAAATGATAACTTACTTTAAAGTTTATATTATTCTAATATTTAAACAAATGATGATTAATATGTATCCTCAGAGGTTTGGGCAAATCATGAATAACTCCTGACCCTAGAACCGCCCCTGGTCCTTCTTATTGCTTCACTGGTAGGAAATGTATACTGTGTGCACTTTCAACAAAATCAGAAAGTGTACAGGCTATTGGAGAATTTGGCAAATAAATAGTTGTCTTCCTTTTGCTCTATAGCTTTTGCCTCCACTTTGACATGAACTAAACTGACACAATGCCTTAGTAGCAGTACTGTACATGCTACGGCGGTGGGTGAAGTCACGTAAGTGAAAACTTACAATATCAATTGCACTTTCAGAGAAAAATTTGTAACAGATGTACTGTTTTAACTAGGGCAGAGAAACATTTACCCTACAAAACTACAGGCACTGTTTGGCAGACTGCACTCTGAGCCACTGGGTTACTGCAACAGACCACAAGACCTATGTCTCTTCCTAGGGTCTCCTCTCTCAGAATTCTACCTAAAACAGTCACTTTTTTTTTAATCAAGGGAGTCCGAGAGAGGCACTGGCCCCAGTAGGAGAGAGGTGGGTGGGGCTAAAGATCACGAGGAACCATGTCAAATTTGGACAGTTAGCTAACATTGAGTAAGAGGCTGAGCCATAAGCATTCCTGTACTGTTGAAACTTGTATGATTGAACCTATGCTGCCCCCTAGTGGCAGGAAATTGATTTTACATTTGCATGATAAATGGTTGACTAAATGGCATGTCTGAGAAACCAAAAATATATATAAATATTTTAATAATGTAATGTATTATTGTTGTTGTTTTTTAATGATATTTATATATTTGTTTATATATATATATATATATATATATATATACAAATGCTATTTTGTAAGTTAATGTTAAAAACAAGAAGCTAAAGTAATACCGTTTGAATATATATTCATAATTCATTCATTCACTACATATTTTTGGAAGATTTTCCATATATAAATCATAATCACCATAATTAAAATTATCTGTGTAAATTATGTAAGTCCAATAATTTAATTCCCCTCGATCTTTACCCTGCAGTTTTGGCCATTTCAGTAGCCATGGTGAAATGCTTTGGGCTGGAGGAACGGGATTTAAGGGGTGTGGTAGGAGAAAGAGGGAAAGATTTGGGGATGGAGTTCAAGGATCTGTGGTGCTGGAGACCAGCTGAACCAAGCAGCCCATTCCGGCTCTCTCAGGAACAGGAGTATCTGTGCCTCAGCAGCAGCTCGGGGTCAGGCTTGGGTTGTACCATGCTGAGCTGCTCAGAGTAAGTCACATTACAGGGTACGCAGGCCAAAAAGCAGCAGAAAAAAAGGAGAGAATGCAGGAAGGATTTAGAGAAGAAATATACTAGCCAGAGGGAGAGATCAACAGTGCAGAGGTGTCAGACTTCATACCAGTCACATTCCCATAAGTCTCCAATCAAAATCCATAGATAAGGAATATTATGCATTATGAGAGAAGACAAGCAGAGAAAACTGCTGTTACAAAACCTAGTGAGCTGCCTACGGAGACAACACAGTCATATGCTACTCCAGATACTGAGGTTATTCCAACTTATTTTGATGCTTAAAATAACTTACTTCAGCCAGATTCTAAAGTTGCATCCCAAATGCAAATGTTCTATACTATATAAATATTCAAATTGAAAAGTTATTATAAATTGTAATAAAATACAAAAGTTACAAAAATGTACATTACTGTTTTTACTGTATTTTTGTTCAAATACAGTAAATGCAGCCTTGGTGAGCATAAAAGACTTATTTCAAAAACATTTTAAATATCTTTCTGACCCCAAACTTTTGAATAGTTGTGTATGTGGCAGTTGAATATACTGTATAAGAAGTATTATATGTACTGAGGCAGCTCACAAGGTTTTGGAATTGATCTACTATGTGCAGTCAACAAAACCAGAGTGCCTCAACATTTGTTAATAGAACAGACTGTAGGCAAAACATATTTTAAAGAAAGCAATGAAAGGACTGAGAAGACTGAACCTGAACTTACCTGTCTGCGTAGGGTTCGTGAGAGAGTGTGTGCCTGGCGAGGTGGGGGGATTCGTGGGATGCTCTCTGAGTCTGATAGGCTATGAGGACTGATCGGTCTGAACAGATCAGTGAGCACAGTCAAGTGTTGTGTAGGTTCTTCTGTTTGAGACTGGATAGAGCCTATAGAGCCTGTGTGAGGAGACATTTGATATTACACAATTATTAATTTTTGTATAACAACCACATTTTAAATTCAGAAATAAAATGCAGTGCTCTACCCGTTTGAGCGAGGTGAGGTGAGGTTGTGTGGGTACTGTGGGTTGAGTTGGGCTGCAGCGGCAGGAACATGTAGCTGTCATTGGGCAGAGAATGTGTGCGGCCCACTGAGGTCTTCTTCACGTACAGTAAGTGCTCATGCGTTGGCTCGTCTGGCTGCTGGGGGTCTGTGGGATCTGCTGGAGCTGTGGTCTGAGGGGCATTAAAAGAGATGCAAGTCAAGGTGAAAGCTGATACTTGTGTTTGGAGCATCAGGGGCCCTTATGAACACATGGACGTACACGCACACACATTGTACCTAATACATAGAGGCTGGACTGGTTAGCATACAATGAAAAGCAAACATCTCTGTGCACTAGACACAGGGAGGAGACTGATCAAGAAACATGTTCTCATAAATCATGTTGCATGAATGCAAATGCATATTTCTTATATGAATATGTACATCTAATGAATTTTTCATATCAATGTATTGTATACTGTATATACATTTAAATTACAGATGAAAGTATGAACATTCGCTATAAAATTTCTTTTTTTATTCTTCTTTTTAGTGAATTGCCTCGTCCAGTTCACAAAACTGAATGATTCATGAATCAGATTGAATCAGACACACTGACTCAGTTTGGAAATTTTGGTCTGTTAATCTGTTAAATGAGTCTTAAGAACCAAAAATTATGATACTTTTTGTATTTTTGTGTCATTTTTTTGATGTAATACTCTTCAGAATTTCAAATTTTCATGAAAAAAATGAAAGAAATACAGGGTTGGAATGACATGAGATTAGTAAACAATAGTGAGAGCAGTGTTGGGGAAAGTTACTTTTAAAAGTAATGCATTACACTATTGCGTTACTCCATAAACAAGTAACTAATTACGTTACTTAGTTACTTTTTATGGAAAGTAATGCATTACGTTACTTTTGCGTTACTTTTTAAATCTGGACAGGGCTTGCTTGTGTTTTTAAAACAAAAAAGTTATATTTTTGGCAAATATAAAAGCCTTTCACACCAAAAGTGAAATGAATAAGCCTCAGGCTGAAGGGAAAGTCAATTTACGTCCGTACAGTAGAATGCAGAAGAAGAAATTTCAGCACACTTCAGCAATAAAAAAAGACACAAATGTTTGTCTGGAGTAATTTGTGCTTATTAGTACGGTTGAACTGGATCATCGAAGGACAGAAGCAAAGACATTGGTTAATAGAAGGGGATTAAATACATAAAGCATATTTGTGTTGTTTTACATTTAATTATTGCAGGTTTGCGTCATATTCTGAGTTGCATTATTTTTATTAATTTTGAGGAATACTGAATCTGTGTTTTTTGTGAGTGAGATTAATTAATGCATATTCATATTTATTTTAGAACTACAGTAACATCTTCTGATTTCTCTCAACATGGGGACAGGAGAGCTGTCAATCAATAAATTGGGAAAAAAAAGTAACTTGCGTTACTTATTTGAAAAAGTAACTCAGATATTCTCTTGTAAATTAAAAAGTAATGCGTTACTTTACTAGTTACTTGAAAAAAGTAATCTGATTACGTAACTCACGTTACTTGTAATGCGTTACCCCCAACACTGAGTAAGAGTAACCAATAATTACTTTTTAATTTACAATTTTTTATTTATTTTTTTTTACAATTTTTGGTGAATATATTCTGATCATTATTTGTGATTAAATGTGTTTTGATGTGGCATTTTTATCCTGCTTTACCTGGACATTGTGAAGCTATGCACATCTCAGTGAACATTTTTTCATCCACATAAATACAACAGAAAAATGAGAACAGGCTGGATCTAAATCTCACTCATCTGAGAGATGCTATGTATAAATTATTAATGGATCTATGGGCATAGTTCTGAGACAATGAATATGAATTCAATTGCGAGGTGACAAAAACCATCAGCCTCCTCCCTTCAGAAGCTGCGCCCAGAGCCTGTACTACTGTAGCTGGCAGACAGCAGAAGCCGAACCCATACCACACTCCTGTATTCTTTCAAGAAGCATGGTACTAGGGAGAAACTTCACTTTTAATACACAAAAGATAAGACATAAATAAAACCATGAAACAAAAACAAAGAGACACAGGTAGATATGCAGACCGATAGATTGAGGATGCAAACAGGAACATCTAAAAAGTATGAAGAGACTAGATGGACAAGAGATTCAGAAATGGCCTTTAGACATGTGGGAGGAAGAATGGGGACATAGCTGCAGAACTCAAACAGGAAAGGAGCAGATTGACAGGCAGTAATACTACTCTACTGGACTGGACTGGACCATACAAACACCAGGCTGGTGCAAAATGTACAGAGAGAGGGAAAGAGAGAAAAAGAAAGAAAGGAGCGGACGCTTAGAAACCCCCAAAGCTTCCAAACGCACTTGCCTCTCAGCTCTGCATGAAGTGATTATGAAGAAGATGCTCTACTTTTACAAATTAATCAGACTACCAAGTGTCAGAAAACAGATTACTGGCATAGTTTTGGTATAAATAAATCATACATCCCTGGCATGGCAGATATTTAATTAGGTTTAATACCTACTTATATTTAATGTACAATAACTTTCAAAAGTTCAGTTAGATTTTTCAACATATTAAACATTTTTTACTTGCGCACCAAATCAGCATATTACAATGATTTCTGAAGAATTACGTGACACTGAAGACTGGAGTAGCGACTCTTTTAGCTTTGCCATCACAGGAAATAAATATTGTTTTAAAATATATTAGAACAGAAAAAAAGTTAAATTGTAATATTCTATTTTTTTTTTAAATGCAACCTTGGTGAGCACTAGACACTTCTTTCAAAAACATAAAAACACGTACCGATACCAAACTTTTGTAACTGCAGTGTAAATAAGTAGAAAGTATAGTGATTAACAGCAGCAATTGACAAAATATTATATAAATGTTACATTTAAAGTATAGCAATATTATTATAGCATTTTGTCAGCTGATACTAAAATTGTTTGTCACTGGAAAACGTGCATAATTTAGTTTTGCACATGTTGGAAAAACTGGAAAACTACTGCAAAATGTAGTTGTTAGGTTAGTAGTGTCACTGTGATTTGAAACTTTTAGCAGTAACTCCACAAAATCGGGTACCACAAGAAACCAAGGGGACTTTCAAGGTGCCACTCTGAAGAACATTTAGCTAAAACTGTGTTGTAACTTGCTTAAAACATTTAACTGAGGAAATCTATTACAGGGCCTATAGGGCTGAAGTATTCAGGGTCAAATGCTAAAGCAGGATGGAGAGGGCAGATGTCTTTGGAAGCAGTGTAAGGCTGAGAGGCAGGAGTGGAAAATGAACATTGCTCTACTGTTAAATACATTGCACTCCTGACTGGTAAGTAAGAGGGGGTTAAAATCATCTGCGACAGAGTCATCCATCAGAGCTAAGGACCAGGATTTCTCCGACGCCAGAGACAGAGCCTCCATCTCGGCTAGAGGAATCTAAAGAAGAAGAGACGAGCCAAGAGTGAGACGGGCAACCAGCACATGCATAGATAGAAGACACGCACAGACCATCACACAGGTTAGTGCAAGTGAATTAATACAACTAAAAGTGGTGAAGTCAGTTCTTTTTTGTGAACATAACAGTTCAGTGTGTGGAAACCGGGGTTGTGTGCCATTTGGATTTGGATTGAGAAGGTATTGTAAATTCCAATTCAATTCCTGAATTGATGTAGCAAACAGGATGGAAGAAGTGCAATTCAAATCTCAATGTAAGGAAGTAGAATTAAAATTCAAAGAAATTCATATAAATAATTTTTAACTAGCCCTCATCCGGCCCTCGGTTCATTTTGACCCAAAACTCATTTTTAAAGATTTTTCTTTAAGCGTTGATCGTTATGTTCTGAGACTTTTTTACTTTTGTCACACTTGAACCGGGAATACATGAAAAATTTGAGTGAATTCGAGCAGTTTAAGTGGGTGCTATTAAAAAAAAGTATCAAAAGTGTCCCTCACGGGTAATTTTGACCCGCCACTGGAAACGCATGGAATTTACGAAAAAACTGCGGATTTTTTTTTATTGAATTTTGTCACACTTGAGCATGGAGCACACACAAAACAATCTGAGTCGATTCGAGTATTCTATGTGTAATAAAAAAAGTAACAAAAGTGTCCCTCCCGGGTCATTTTGACAATTATTTTTACCAAATATAGTTTTTTTTAATGTTTTGATATATATATGAAAGCCTTGAGATATATCTGAAAGCTTAATGAAGCCTCAAGTTGGTGTAGTTTTAAATATTTCACTTGTTTGGCACATTTAAGAATCTCCATGGGATCCAATAGGCCCCTCTAGTGCCTGTAATCATAAAATGCAATTTTATGTAATTTTCCCCCATCAGATGGCATTAGAGACATTCAGTGACCTAGGTCCTGATGGATCATCATGTTTAAAGTATAAATATGCAGAAATAGTGTCTTTCTTTGTTTTTTTTTTGGTGAAAAAATGTATAAAAAATATGCTCATTTTCATATAAATATCCAGAATTTAATGTGAATAAAATTTTAACCAAATAATAATAAAAAAAAAAAACCTACATAAAAATTAGAAAAAACAATATATATAAAAATGGACCAATATAAGCTTTCTGGACCAAAAATAAAATGAGTGTCATACTGTATTTCTTCCTGTCACTCCAAACTCAAATTCCAGTTGAACTTCTTGTGGGTGTGGCTAATGAAATTCAAATTCACACTCATGAACTGAAAGAGAGCCAATTCTTAAATTCAGAAATTTGATCAGCCCTGATGGAAACACCCTCCAGAGTCAGCTGACAGGATGCATATAACCTTCCTTCAGTAGCCAGTATAGATTTCCTGAAGTTTAATGGTCCTCAAATATTAAAATGATATCAGAAAACAAGGTCAAACTTAGTTACCTTCAAAGAGAAATAATATGGAATCTCTTTCATAAATCCTCATATGTCAGCAGGCGAAATCTTGCTTGCTGCATCATCTAAATTGTCCCTGAGAGTTTGGGCTGGAACAACTTTTTGCAAAGTCATCAAAATAAAAGCGCCAGCTATTTCCTTAAAGACATTATAGATTCTCCAATTACATAAAAAATGCTTTTAGAAGCCTCCGTTCTTGCAATGCTAATGCAGTTTAATGAAATATTTCAATGTGAAACAGACCAAAAGAGATTTCCTTGCATAATTCAACAGCGGTCCAGCTCTATCGATCCACACATTACCTCTTCTACTCCAGCCTGATGAGTCCATCACTTTTTTGGGTATTAATGATCTTTGGAGCGAGGCACACATTTCACAAAATTTTGCAAGCCTTTGTCACTCTTATGGGATCAGGAAATAAGTACACTTATTACTGGAGCAGAACCAAGTCCTTCTAAAGAGTGCTGGAAATCCCAGAATGCAGAGCTGGCTTTGTAAGTGACACACAGAAGCTTCGGTGCTATTATGTAAGTTTAAGTGGTCCAGAGAGAGAGAAAAGGAGGGAGAGAAGAAGGGAAAGAGACAGGCAGAGAGAGAAGAGGAGTGTGGTACAAGGCAAAGCTGGGTGAACGGGGATGCCATTGACCTGTTTCTCAGTGCAGTGCTTGCTGTGAAGGGGGGGCAGAGCGTAGTAGTGGCAGATGGAGTCAGATAGGTTGTCCATGAGGCTGAGCTCTCCTTCCAATGAGCCCTGGATCACCAGGGAAACTGAGTCAAACATAGGCCTCCGCTAAAAGCCCCAGCATGTGGCAGACAGGATGAATGACGAAGAGAGAAAAAGAGAGCAGACAGAGACAGAGGCAGAGGAGATGATGAGGGGTGACGTGAATGACATTACACAGAGAAAAAACAGAGGAGAAATGAAGGAAGGAGAGAAGTTTCTAGATTTAACACAAGCAGCCAGAAGGAATACATTTTACGAAAAGATAAACAAGCTACTCAGTAAGCCGTAAGAATTCATTTAAAGAAACAGTACACCCAAAAATTAAGATGTCATTATTTACTCACCCACACTGTTGACTTTCTTTCTTCCATGGAACACAAAAGTAGACATTCTGAACAATGGACTTCTGTTCCACAGAAGAAAGTAAGTTATATGGGTTTGCAACAACAGTGATTAAATAATGACAGAATTTTAAATCTGACGTGAACTGTTCCTTTAAACCAGAATAGCTAAGATGCATTCGTTAAATCAGTAGTACAATGCATTATGTGCCGATCAGATGCAGTATTGGGCTTTAAACTGGCAAAGACGCATTGCTCACAGGTGAAACACTTGATTGTACAACTGACATCCACAAGGGGGAACTAGAGCTCTATGAACATTTATCCTGATGATGAGCAAAACATTTCTGCACGGCCACACTTCAGAAGAGAGCTGGAGGGATAATGTCATTGTTAACTTTAAAAAATTAAATAAAAAAAGGCTGCTATTCTGGAAATAGCCAGCCTGCATAAAAAAAAGAAGAGGCCTGTATCACTACTTTCCCATGGCATCAGTCTGACCTCTGACCACTAAATTTATGAGGAGCAAACATCTCCATACAACATTAACAGAAACCAATGGACTTCCCCACTTTAAAAATAACAGTTCAGTGTTTTAAAACATATATTTTCAGTAAACCTAAATGCATGTTAGTAATGATCTGTAAGCTCTTATCGTAACAGACTTAAACAAATAAACAGTTTTTTTGTTTTAACAAATAAACAGTTAATTGTTAGTTGGACACTGGCGATAATCAATGCGGGGGAAAAAAATACTTTATATTTTATATATTGTGAGACATCTAGATATCCATATCATATATCATGTTTTTAAAAGGATGGTCAGAGTTACAAGTTAAAGAGTTCACCCAAAAATGAGAATTCCGGAATCATTTGCTCACTCTCATGTCATTCAAAACCTGAAACACAATCAATATTCTGAAGATTGTTGGTAACAACTGTTGTTGGGAACAATAGTTGTTACTTGTCTACTGTTTGGAACACTTTTCACTGTTAACTAGTTTCTTAATTAGCATTCATATTACTAGCATATTGGCTGTTTATTATTAATTAGAAAAAGCACATATTATTGCCTTATCTGCATGACCATATTCTAGATCCCTAAACCCTACCCAATACCTAAACATAACTACTACAACAACTAACGTACGATCAATAAGCAGCAAATTAGGAGCTGATTAAGGAAAAACTCTTAGTTAATAATGAATATGTTTTCCCAAATATAAAGTTTTACCCAATTTTTTGTCCGACAGAAGAAACAGTCATACAGGTTTAAAAACAACATGAGTGAGTAAATAATGACATTTTGAAATTTATTTTTATTTTTATTCACTATCCATTTAAACTCTATACTGTTGATTTCCAAGAAAATAACTTTACTATGTTTAAAGAAAAATCATGTTTACAATTATGCAGAAGTCAATGGGGCACTACATTGCACGGAAATAAATTTTGAAGCACATAGACTACAAGGCTTAAACATTATACGTGTTTACATGAGACTAGTGTAACAAAATTGTTTACCATCTTCTTCTATGCAGAGTTCCTCTCATGACCATATAAAGCCAGTAAACCCTGCAATTTTCAGATGATACGTGCAATAATACCAAAAAGGGACTTTTCACATAGAGACAAATCCACAGGAATTAGATTAGTAATGCAGAACCAAAATCTCAGTAGTCCCACTGCTAAAAAACAACTTGCATACCAAATAATGCATATTTTATACAGACAAATTAATATAAGTGCTCTGGCATAAATGCTTTAACCAACTATGAGCTGGACTTTTTTTGCTTTTAAACCCTCTGGAAGGTCTTGCTCCATCAACTTCCTTTGTAAGTGCCCTGCTGTAAACAAGATTCGTGTTTGTTTTAAAGGGGTCCCATTATGCTCTTTTACAAAGTCCTGATTTTGTTTTGGGGGTGTACTAGAACAGGCTTTCATACTAGGTTGTTCGAAAAACACATTATTTTTCACATATTTTACATTATTACAACACCTCTCTCCCCAGTCATGGCATGAATGGCTCGAATAGTTCCTGTATCAAATGAAAGCCCGCCTTCTGAAATACGAAATGTGCTGTGATTGGTTAGCTGGGCCAGTGTGTGCTGTGATTGGCAGCACTTGGGACCTGGTCGGGAAATGTCACGCACCTTACCATAGCCGCCTGCGAGCTTCAGTGTAAATATTGCGTCAAAATCAAATCAATTTGAGCGAGATTTAAACCCGGATGATTGTAATCACTCTAAGTTTGTCTGCCTTGGGAAAGCTAGCATGTCTCCGACATAGTGATAACACTCGTTGCTTTCTCTAGTGCAGCTCAACCAGGTCTCGTCCCATTCGACGATATTTGTGATATCACAAATCCCGGAAAATATGCGTTGTAGTCCAAACGAATCGTTCATTGTAGTTTTTGAAAAGTGGTTTCTGTTAAATAAAATATCTACTATTTTTTGCTTTGTAACTTTGCAGATCTTTTTTATGCTCAAACAGCAACATTACAGACTAACTAAAGTTGAAAAAGTGAAAAAGCATAATAGGACCCCTTTAACAAACTGAGGGACAAAATAATGTTCAGTGGTAATGGAGAGCATACAGCAGATGCTTAAGTTTAATTGAACCAAAAAAATTCCTTTAATATGTGCATCAGTGACGTCAGTGGGTTCAGGCATTTATGGAGGCATATGGTATGTTGTCTAACAGTATAGTGTATTTAGATAATAGAGCACGGCAGTGGTTATGTATTTTTGTAGACCAACCCAGAAGTTAACATCACCCTGGTTCCCTCGACAAAAACCCAAAAGGATTTTCTACTGGCTTAAGGATTATTGTAGAAAATAAGCTCTGTGACCAACAAAGGCTTATGGTTCCTACATGTTTTGTTCATCACGATAACCTTCACAAATAAACATAATTTTCATAAAAATCTGAAACCTAAATACAATCGCCAGAAGTAAAAAGCTTATAACCAAACTACACCATGGTCGCATGAAAATCTGACAACTCTTTTAGTAAAAAAATAAATAAAAAATTCCCTGAAAGTTTAAGAATAGTTTTTATTATGATTATAAATAAGGCTGTAAAGGTGGGCTAGTGAGTTGATGAGTTTACTTGTTCAGTGTGATGACATTTATCCCACATTTAGCCACTTGTTAGCAACTGCCTTTTTTAAAAAAGTTTTTAAAGTTAAAGCTTTAAGAAAAATCACAAGGGGGTATTACTGATGCATTCTGTGTCATAGAATAAAACATGAAAAGATTGTGTTAACCACAGATTTTATTTCAGGCAAAAACAAATTTATTAAATAAATAAAAAAAATAAAATACTAGCTCATTCCTGGGTTTTGGCCTACAAAAATACGTAATCTCTCCAGCATTCTATTTAAAAGATTCAGCAAAACGAAAGCAAGCTGGGCACCACTGCTGAAACCTGCTTAAGATGTTGGCTGGTTTCTAGCTGGCCTGATGTGGGCGTAAGCAGCTTAAACCAGGTAGCATAAAGTCTGGCTCATTTGTTGAGCCTGGAAACTACACACCACTGACCTCACACCCAGAATTTCCACTCACCTCTGATGGCTGCTCCAAATTATGAGGAGGATCGGGATCTGTCTTTATGTGATCTTCAGAGTCTCTGCGTATGTCTGCAGGTGGGCTGTCTGTGGGGTAAAGAGGTCCCGACATATTTGGAGAGTCTCTTGAGATCCAAGGCGACCCTCCTGGTCCACCAATGTCACCATGTCCCAGAGATGGCATGTGTCCTCGGGATATTCCTCCATCTCCACCCACAGCCTCCAGCTCAAGCGCCATCTCGGCTTCCAGCTCAGCCTCCTCCTTAGCCTCTTTGTTACTTTCCTCCAGGTGTTTCATGAGCACAGCGATCACCACATTGACCAGCACAAACTGAGCCGTCAGAACGAAGGACACAAAGTAAATGGGGGACACCACCGTGTTGTAGCAGATGCCTGTATCTTGGGAGCAGTCTCTGAGCGTGTCCTGCAATGTGGACACACAGAGTGTACAAATAAGAGGTGAATAGGTTGCTAACGACCGCAGTCAGAAAACGCACCAAGCATTTTAAAACAAACCGTGTGCATCATTGAAATTCAGCACCATGAGTTGACTGTGTCCCACCTTCATAATGCCATTCCAGTTGTCCCCGGTGGATACACGGAACAGCAGGAGGAAAGCCATGCCAAAATTCTTGAACGTTGCATAACGGCCGAGACCTTCACATGGGTGCAGCTCATCACATACTGGGACAGAAAGAAAAGGTCAGTGGTACATGATCTGGGAATGTGCAGAGCAACATATTTTCATAATGGCCAAACACATTATTTTACAGTGCTGTGACAAAGTAAGTGCTCCCCATGAAAAGTTGGATCGATTTTTTCAACATTTCAACACTTTGATCCCCGGGTTCCCCAAAGAACCTTTCAGTGATCCTGACTCATTCTTGGTTGGGAAGAAACAGAAAAAAGTTTGCCTTGCAGACAGTCAATCTCAGTTCAGCCAGCAGACTCCATATATTAAACTTGGACAACACTGTAAAGCTGGTTATGAATTATGAAGTCTCTATGTTTATCTCGAGTCGGCTGATTGGAAATGGAAATGACATCAACTCTGGTATTGTGCTGAGCTGCAATGAATCACGGCAGGCTGTATTCAGTAAACCATGCCAAATGTACTGCCACGTATTTTAGAGAAAATCTCTTGCAGGTACCATATTTACGGTTTGCCCTTACGGACAAGGATGGCAAATTTTCTAAAATATGTGAAAGTGATTTTACAGCAATTTAAAACAAATAAACTAATAAAGAGTAATAAATCAAGTCATTTAAAACATAATTATGTACCATCAGAGGATTAGAGGGTTGCAACATGAGTAGACTAATCAACGTCATAAAGGGAATAAATAAATGAATGAAATTAGTTTTATAGGACCCCTTGATGAATAGAGAGATGGAGCCTGTAACATATTGTATAAAACTGAGTGTTGCATTTAAGTCTGGCCTATATTAAAGTGCAGATTACCATATTAATGCATTTACTCTTTGTTGGGATACTTCGAAAATACTGGTGCATTACATTTTAATTTAACTTTAATGTGGGACAGTCAAAGTTATTTTGGCTTCTTAACTTTAGGTTTAGTTAAAGTTAACTTTATATTTAAATTTTTTAGTTTTTGGATTCCCAGCAATAGTGTCAGGAACCCCATAGGGAATGTTAGTAATTTACATTTCAGTGTGCATAAAACTTAGACAGGAAGATCCTGTGGAGTGCATAGGTATGTGTGTATATATGTGAGAGGAAGTGTTTGTGTCTGAGGGAATTAGACCATGAGGAAAAATGTTCCTTATTTATGTGTGTTTGTTATGCTTACTCAGGTCACCAAACAGCTCTACTCCCAGAGCAGCGAAGATGAAGAAGAGCAACATGAAGAGAAGACCCAGATTCCCCACCTGTAGAGAGAGCGAGAGAAAGCCAGGAGAGTTTGTCATGGAACGCAATGACAGGACAGACCTAGAAATACCACCTGTGAGGAGCCAATAAGAGAGAGTCATGAAGTGAGAAGATGACAGCTGTGTTCCACCTGATTAGAGCTTGCCAGGTTTGTAAACTTAAAACTCAAACTATGCTGAAGCCGTGGCTTACTGTTGCTAGCAGTTAGCACACATGCTCCAGACATTCCCTCTTTCTCTCAATCAATAAGAAGTGTCAGAAGCCCAAAAATAAAATCCTCATATCCTGATTACAAAATCTGAAAGTTATTTAGTACATTTTCATGTCACCATCATACAGTATGTCTTAATAAATTGGATAAATTATAATAATTCATTTTCGAAGATGGAAATCATATTTATTTTCTTTTATCACAATATATTTAACATAGGTTTGAATTTTAAATAATTTCACTACACTTATTTGAGTAAATGTTGTCATTTTTAGCACAATTTCAGGAGATTTTTTTTATTTATTTATTAAGAAACATTTTCAATTTATTGAATTTATTTATAGACAATGTATTAATAAATATGCCACTTTTCCCCCTTTTTCCCCCCAAAAATTGGGAATATTGATTTATATAATTTAACATAATTCTGTGATTTTTCTTTATAGAAGTTGGTTTGTCTGACTTGCAAAATATTAAATCCTGTTACATAAAATTATAGAAAGCAGTATTATCAAAATGTCTAAGGATGGCTAAAATGAAGAAATTAAAGTATATCAAATTAATTTCAAGTTGACCCCCTACAGCTACAGTAACCCTCAATACGCAACAATAAGACTAACTTTAGATCTTTATGTTCATCCTGTTAAATTATTGCCATTGTGTAAGATAAATAAATAAACAAATAATAATGCACTTTAATTTATTATTATTGTTATTATTACTGTTATAATAATAATTATTATTATTTTAGGTGCCTAAACCTTGCTGTGGTATACTGAAACACCGTAATATTCATGTACTGCTGCATAACAGGAAGAATCCACCTACACCCAGAAGAATCATGCAAAACAATCATGCAGAGTGGTCACAGACAACTGGATCAGGCATGATTTTGAGGAAAACGGAAAGGAATACAAAGAATCAGATTAGATGTGCTGACAAATCCGACTGCGCTGACATTCCTTTTTGTAAGTCTGGCTATTTTCCCACCCTAATCTCTCTTAAGTGGACTCTTCACTGGCTGGATTCAAGACACGGGGATCAATCTCACACTATCTGGCAGGATATCTCAGTCAGAACACCGTTACGGATCACCTCTCACAAATTGCGGAAGAGTAGATCAATAGCCCAGAACCACATAAAGCAACTTTAATACAAAAGTATAAAGTGTGAGAAAGTCACAGCGACACTGTGAAAGGGCGTTAGGAGACGATGCTAAGATCAGGTGATGGCTAAACATGATCTAACCCAATTAGTGACAATTAGTTAGAATTAAGTAAGAAGTAGAATTACATGTCTGATTATCTGAAGAGCGCTAAATGAGAGACTGGAATTAATAGTGTGTCCTGTGGTGCAGCATGTTTCCAAATGAAAAACCCTGCAGGCAGTGATGGAGCCTGATGCTATCAAAAGAATGTGCATGCTGGAGATTTTCTCATTTCTGCTATTCTCCAAGCAGCCCATCAGAGCCAATCTGCACTGTTGTGGCCTCTTCATGGCAGATTGACTATGTAAATGAGGCCTGTGGAGAGCAGAAGGGTCCCAGAAGAACGGGGAACAGGGCCCGGGAACTCTCTCGCCGTGTATGATACACTGGAGGAGTGGAGAGCAGAATGTTATGAATGAGACAGAAAAAAGTTTTGTGCAGTACCTGAGGCAGTGCCTGAATCACAGTGTCTAGCAGAGCTCGCATTCCCACTGCCATCTTGAGTAGCTTCAGCACTGAAAGGAGAGGAGAGCCCGCTTACTGTGCATATATGAAATGTACACAATCTGTTCAAGACAGTTTCAAATATAAAAATACAAAAACAGTACAATTTCAAATACACCTTCTTTTTTTACCAGTGCACTTACAAGTGTATTTATTTAAAAATTAAAACAACAACAAAAATCTATTTGTTCTAATCTATCTATCCATTTGAATCTATTTGAAGGGGTAAGAGGCAAAGGTTAAGTCTGCCAGTACAGTGTGAATTGGCTAGGCAGGGGTCTCCAACCTTTTTGTGAGTGAGGGCTCCCTGAAGGGATAAAATAGTCTCAAGGGCTACTTGTTTGATATACTCCAATATGCATGCATGCATGCATACATACATATTTTTTTCTCTCTCTCTAATATCTTAATAAAATACATTTTATTTTCCCCTAAATTCTGTGCTTTCCATTTGATTTCTTATGGATTCCGTGTTTTATGATTCAGTACAAATTTATCATAAAAAAATGGTGTCTAGTGAAATTAATTAATACAACTTTAACAATTTATTCAATCTTTTAAAATGTAAATCAAATAAAAAAATCAATTTACAACAAAACATTGCATTTTTATTTATTTTATCAGACATGATGCTGCACAACAGAACTGTATAAATTAATAATAACAAAAAATAACTTGGTTGTATGATATTCCTTAAAAATAATAATATTATTATTACTTTGAGAATTGCATTGTAGTATACAGTAGTAATATATTCAGTCATATAATTTCAAGTTAAACCAGACTTTTATTTTGACGGTTTGTCGTTAAGGTCTTTCAGTTTCAGTTTCAGCGTGTATTTGACGGTATTTTTCTCAAATGAAACTGCATAAAGCTGGTGAAGTGACTTTCAGAGCAGCTCTGAAGATGAAGTGCATGTGTTCATGTCCTCATATATTGAGACACAGACGCTGAAAACACCGTGAGTCACGTGTGTTTGAGTTTGTGTATCAGATGAAACTACTCCACACATTCACACAGACACACAGAACATGCAGGCTTATTAGCGACTGGTTGCTGTAACATTTATTTTTGTTGTGATTAATCCATATTGAGTAAAAATGTCCAGAGCTTATCATCATTATTAACATAAATTTGATCATAATCTCGATATGATATTTATCGCCCGACACTAATTTAGGCTATTTATAGAACGTGCTTGGCGGGTGACTCAGAGACTCCATGCGGGCTAACAGGTCCCCACGGGCACCATGTTGGTGACCACTGGGCAAGAGATTCACAGATATTAAAATTCTGATTGATACCGATAAGCGATTAATTGTTTTCAAGTAATGACTGATATAGGCAATATTAAAATCATATCACTTTTTAAAAAATTTTTAAAATAAAATACTAAAAATAAACAAATGAATAAATAAATAAAACCTGTCATTTAAATGCTACAAGAGAATAAGTAGCCTAGGTATCACAACATTATTATGTACATTATGTAAAATGAAAATAAATTTTAAGATCTGCTAAACATTTAATTTAACAGTGTTATTTAACAATTCGTTTTTTAAAAGATGAACTTTAAGTGAGACAGAAAAAGAAATCCAATACAAAAATAGGTAAAGTAAAATATATACAGTACCAAAAGTTCAAAAGTTTAGGGTCAGTAAGATTTTTTGAAAAAGACTCTTATGCTCACCAAGGCTGCATTTATTTTATATTACTATTTGATAATTTTGTAAAATATCACAATTTAAGACAAACTATTTTCATATTTTTAAATAGTGAATAGACAGCAAAAAATACACACACAGTGGATGCACTGTTTCTTTAAAAGTGGCCAGTGGAAACTAATTCTCAAATAATTTTTACAGTGGTCAGATCACAGAGCATGTTATTATTGGGGTCATGCACTACACACACAGAGCTTTAATGATGTTGATGACAAGGCCATTCAGCCATGGAAGAGACAACGCTGTGGAGGTTTGGTTAATTGCAATCATGGCCTTAAGTGGATGATGCCTGTGACTTTCATTATGGGAATGTCTGAATGAGTCCAGGAAGAAATAGGCTGCGTATACATACAGACACTCATACTCACGTATCCACACACACACACACACACATACACACACACACAACCTGATGAGAACACAGACATCTGAGCAGGTGTGTTTGCTTGGCCATCTCTGTTGAGGGAATAATCAATAAAGACTCACTCAGCAGCTCTTTCATTAGAGGAAGAATAATCGTTCCAAGTAGACAAGCACCCCAGCTTCCCACACTGTGTGTGTTGTGAGCGTATAAGCTTGTGATTGTGTGTGTAAGAAATAAGTAGAGTGGTTGTGTGAACTGAATTTCTCATTACAGCCATCTGGACTCTTTCTACACAGACTACGGCTTCTGCTGAGCAGTCTGTGAAACAACAGAGATCCCGAGGGTGACATACACAACCGGGTCTGATCTACTGAAGCTAACAGGCAGAGCGCTGATAAGTGTAAACTTTTGCAGGGAAGAAAAATGGACCATGGCGGTACGGAAGATAAGAGGGCAGATAATACAAACCACGAGCGATCCGCAGCACCCTCATGATGCGTATGATGGTGGGGTTGATGGGAAGGGAAGCATTGACCTCAATTTCTTCCAGTGTTATGCCCATAATAGACAACAGAACAATGGCAAGATCCAACTGGTTCCACCTGTGTAAAACAATTGTTACATTAGTTATAAATAGTAATTAAAATTTAGTTATTAATAGTAAATAAGAGAGCAATGCTGCCTTCAAATCATGTCAGAATGACTGTATTTATAAGATGTGCTCACATGAATGTCGTATTTACCTACTTGGGATAAAAAATATTTTTATTAAAGTTTACTTCTTTTTTTTATGTTGATGTTACAACATGTTTCAATCGTCTTCATCTATTCTGGATTAAATTGAATTGCATTAAATTATTAAATGATTTGTTTTAATTAAAAAAAAAATTTTATGTTGGTGTTACAATTTACCGCAATTCAATCGTATTTATCTACTCTAAATTAAAATTATTAAATTAAATTATTTGTTTGAATAAAACATAGTTTTGTTGACATTACAATTTATTTAGTATACATTTTATATACCGTTGATGAGCGATTGTCAGAAAATCTTACACATTTAACTGTATATAAAGCAAAATTACATTATCCAAAATTCTACATTGTTAACTACACATTTTAAGTGCATCCTTTATTTGTTATTCCAACTTGCTTTGCCAATAAGAGAGACATTTCATGTTTCTTTTTTTGTCAAAAAGAGAGAATGAAATATGAAATTGCCCAATGTGCTAATTTTCAAAATCACTTAAATTTCACAATATGACTTCCTCAATCTTACAACTTCAAAGGACTTAAAGGTAGCACAGTATCTTTAAATACACCAGGCAAAGTGTGCAACACAATTTCATAAATGAAAAGCAATTAAAATTTGAAGCTTCATTTTGTGTGAATAACCCTTATTTGATCCTGGATGTTACTTCTCCTTTCCAGCAAGCTTCTCAGCATGTTCACTGTCTAAATATGGCTTCAAACTTTGTGGCAAACTTTAAATAACTCCCTCTCAGGGTCAAATATAACACTGTCATGGGTGAGGTAGAGCCTACAGCCTGTTTTAGGACACCTCCATTTTCTGGGGCCTGCAGCCATAAGAGGTGTTTCATTAGATATGTGGGGAAATTTAAGTCAAATGATTAACACAAAGCATTTCTTCATTTTCCCCCACAAGTTTAGCTCGCTAATGGGCCCAGTGATCAAAGTGTACTTCCATCCTCCATTCCTGCAGACTTGGAGTGTGTTGCATGAAAGAGCCGATCATTTCCAATGTTGTAAATCAATAAAACTCTTAAACCTTCACCTCTTGAACAGCATGTTCTGAAATGTCTGACAGTAGTTTCAACTCACTCCTTTGGTGAGAGATTTTGTTTTAAAATCATATCAATTATGTTGTGTCAAAGTTCTCATTAGTATGCAAATAGCTGCTTTACATTTCCCTACACATGGATTAGGGATCAGGGAATACATTGACATGATACGCTTTTTATGAAACTATTGAAAGAAAAAGCTGATTACATGAGAACGTCTAATGGCTTATCAACTTCAGTAAAGTGCCTAATACTCATATTGACTGATTATTCAAAACTAATTAAAAGAGTAATGGATCATTCAAACTCTATATAGAGAACGTGTGTGTTAAATTTTGCCAACACATATGCTATGCATATTAAGATGGTAGAATAAAGCATTTACCACTTCTTTGTTACTAATTTAAGAGGAATAAACGCCATTTAGGATGCTTTCTCATTGTTTAAGCTCCAGGCAGTGTGATTTTGGATATTTCAAGAGGGGTTTCTTTTACCAAAACCACAAGTGATATAAATTTGGTTCTTGTTTTTCACCACAGACGCCAGTGCATTCAGCCCTCAATGTGCTTCTGACAGTCTGAGGCAAACCAAGGAATCTCAAAGCTGTGATATAATTTTTAAAGGATGTGGCTTTAGGTATACTAACAAACCCTATCACAAAAAAAGAAAAAAAGGAAAAAAAATGATTCACTTATAGGGGCATTGGAGTACATCCATGGGAATGGCTTCACTGTAAATATAATTTGGTTTTGAGAACTTTTGTGAGAGTCACATCTACTACCTGTCCTTGAAGAAGCGTCGAAATCCAAAGGCAACAAGCTTGAAGACGGACTCTAGGACAAATATGATTGTGAAAATGTAGTTACAGATCTTCAGAGCTTCGTCCAGAACCTGTTAAAACACAGTGGTTGCAAAGAGAATTTAATAGTGAAAGTACAGAATTAACAAAGCTTAAAACAAGCATGTATCTGCTCTTTCAGAAAAATAAATGAATGAATACACAAACTGTAGGCCGAATGATGGCCAAATAAGTCATTCCATTATCAATAAGTGGAAAAGATGGTTAGATTAGCCCAAAGGAAACACCAATCATTAGCTGGCATCTTCAGGGTCTGACAGTCAGTGGACATTTCCAGGGGTCTGGCCTTTCCCCCGTCCACCACACAGTAATTAAAGCCAGACTAAGTGTGACGACGCACCAGAAAATCTATTGATTCTGTTCACGGAATGAGTGTGTAAGTGGTCAGAGCCTAACAATCCCCTTTGCTCCACTTCCTCCAAGATTCTACAGACCACCAGGGCTCTAATTAAAACAGACTGCCATTTATAACCACAGGTGAGGTCACAGACCTCCATTAACGATGGGTGAAAACCCTGTTAAGCATCACAACAGAGCTGACTAATAGGAATAGTAAGCACCTCTTTTGATTTGATATATAAAGAGATAAATAAATACATAAATTATTCTAATATAATAAAAAAACAAGCCAAACAAATATAAAAAATTGTAGGCTAGCCTTTGAAAGAATCACAATACTGTTAATGGTAATTTATAGTGTCTTTTTTTTTTACAGTCAAAACTGACCTGTGTCAGAAAGTAATAAAAAATGCAGTTCAGAAGAATATATTTCACCACCCAAATGATTTAGAGAAATCCAAAATTTCAGCCAATAAACTACAATGTGGTTTATTTTGATGAGGCATTACTCGCATAAGGCTTCTTTAGAGACAGGCAATGGTACAAAATGTCCTGGAGCAGCACAATGAAAGTGCAACTAAGAATAATAGTATAAAGATTAAAATGATATACGCACTGCTATGATATAACCGAAATGCAGAACATCAACAAGAGTACATAAACATTAGCTGCCTTATCAGCAAATATTTTGCAGAGCCATAAAATGAGATAGCGGTGAGATTAACTTTGTTTGCAGTTACATAACAAGCAAGTGCATTTCCTTAATGGAATATCAACAAGCGCATACACTCTTCACTGCTGGCGTTCCAAAAAGTTCTACCTTAGGTTGTTTGTAGTGCTCCATGGACATGGTGATGACATTGAGCCCGATGACAATCGTGATGAACAGGTCCAGATAGTGGCTGGTGCACATCTTGTGGATGAGAAGCCGTGTAGGTGAGTAATCGGAGTAATAGGGTTTACTCTGGGCTTCTGAAGAACCATGGGAACAGGGAGGAATCATGAAATAACTGTACTGAAAGAAACATCGTTTTGTACACACTCATGCCCACACTGGGAAAAGAGGGGAAGAGGGAAAGAACTATCGGGAAAGAGAAGAAGCTAAGAGATAGATCATACTGTATGTGAATAAGTTCACCCAGAAATGAAAATTTACTAACTCATCCTCATGTTGTTCGAAATCTGACATTATTTCTTCTGTGGCGCACAAAAGAGGAAATTCGAAAGGCTATACTGGCCTCTCTTTTCCATGAAAAGTTTTCAGTCTTTAAAAATGGTGCAAATGCACCATAAACTTATCTGAAAATGGTCCATATGACTTGTGTCACATTTAAAGTTTTGTGAAGCCTTATGATTGGCTTTGTGTGAGGAATAGAGTCAATCAGTGTTAATCACTGCGACTGAATTGAGTCAGTGAGTTACACTTAATCAGTTAAAATTTGTGAAAGAATTATTCGTTTTATGAACTGGATCATTCGTTGTTTTGACACAAATAACGATTGATTTACAAATCTTAACTTTTCAGGGAGAAATAACAAATTCAGCCTGACTGCAACTGAATCATCAAGTCAGTGAGTTGTACTTGAAAACTGGATCAGTCCAATTTGTGAAAGAATCATTTAAATTAGTTTTATGATCTGGATCATTCATTAATTTGACCCAAAAGATTGAAAAAAAAGCAACTTTTCAGCAAGTAGCTAAATAAATTCAGCCAGATTAACACTAAATCAGTGTTAATCATTGCGACTGAATCATCGAGTCAGTGAGTTGAACTTGAAAACTAGATAGGTCTAATTTTTGAAAGAATCATTTAGATGAGTTTTACAAACTTTGGTTTGACTCAAACGAATTACTCATTTGCAAATCTAAACTTTTCATTGAGTAACAACATAAATGCATTCTCACACATAGATATTGTATGACTTTATATGACTTGTAATATAGTGCTTAAGTTGTATGGACCACTTTTATGATACTTTGGTAAAACAGCCCTCAAAATGTCTCTGTTTGAATAGCGAAGAAGAAAGTCATATGGGTTTTGAACTAAATGCTGAGTAAATGAGAATTTTCATTTTCGTGTGAAATTTTTCTGTTGGCCGGATATTCCAAATATCAGATCAAAGGCAGAGGAGCCCATATTGAGGGGCCAAGATGCCTGAGATCTTTTCACTCACGGACACCTCAACAAAACAAATTGTCTTATTGTTATGCACTTTCTAATGAGATTCCCTGAGACATAAAAGAAACTCCACTCCATTCCATTTGGACAGACTTGTGCATATGCTAGTTTTCTGATCCATTTCTATTTTTTGTGATTTTTCTCTGATGTTCGCTGAGGATGGAGAGGACAGGAGGGATGGAAGAGCAGCGGGGGGCCGGGAAGCTTATCATCCCAACACACAGGCAGGGCTGTGAGCAGCAGCTGTGTTCCCTGTGGTCCTGTCAGCCCATTAGGCAGGCTTTTTCTGGCACCAGCCACTGGACCGAAGGAACAGGTGCTGCATTCAACCTTTTTTTTTATATATATATAATGGTGCCACATCAGCAGTAATTGTTTAATCACATGGCTGCTCCCCACTGGATAGTGAATTTGAGTATGACTCATCTAGAACATGTCCAAATTATTTGCTCGTTAAAAGGGATGTGAGTAATATTTTGGATGTTAATCTCAGTTTAACATGCAGAGATATCTATAAGCAAGCCGTTGTCTGTGTTTGCGTGTTCCATACGGACTTTGGGTCTCTGTATAAGTGATGAGGACTAGAGACCAGTGTTATTTTAGTGCTCTTTATATACTATTATGATATTAAAATTTGTAATTAGATTTTATTTTTGAATTGTTAAGTTTTCATTTTAATTTAAGTTTAAGATTTAGTCATTTTTGTGCTTCAGTCAATTTTATTATTATTATTTATATTTCTGTTTAGCTTTCATTTATATTTAAGTTTTAGAAATTTTAGTACTTCAAATTTAACTTTCAAAATTTGTATTTGTATTTTTAATTTATTTATTTCATTTGAGCTTTATTTAAATGAATGTTAACTATTTTAACTAATAACGATAGTGGGAGTGACTTCCTGCAGGTTACAGCAAGTGACCAGCTTTATCAGTGAGTCACTGATTCAATCAATCAATTGATTTGTTCAAAAACACTGATTCGGTCAAGAATGAAACAAGTGACTTTCTGAATTTTAAGCAGCATAGTATACTACTCTACTTCTCCTTCCATCTAAAAATTATTCAAAATATTATGAGTAGTAGGCTAGTAAGTATTTTGAAATCATCAAATGTTTCAGTGATTCTATATAGAGTCAGTCATTGAATCACTGACTCAACCGATTCATTTGAAAACACTGAATTAAATACCACTGCTTAATTCTGCTCAGAGACACGCAATGGTTGTGCTTTTTTGTCTCAAATGTAAGTTACAAAATATTAAATTCTTGTTTATTTAATATATAAAAGCCATTTTATACTTTTATTTTATACTACATTTATACACTAAGAACTCCTTTGCTTGTGTGAAATTTCTTAAATATAGATATGACTTATATGGGGTCACTCTGGTGATGATCGAGATGCCAGCAACACCAGTTCTGCGGTAAATTACCAAAGGAATCTTCTAACCCATCTGGCTTTAATTCCGCTAATAGGAGCCATGCTCCTGGTGTTTTTAAATGTGCTGACTCAACATTACCTTTGTCTCATAATGTACAATTTATGAATCTTAAACCTCCAGACTTGGCTAAACTTTGCCATTTTGGTTGTTATTTATTTACCTTATTTATTGTTATTTTTTTATTACTCCTATTATCTAACAAAATCTGCGATGAGGTCAATGTTCTGCTCTTTAACCCATGTGTTATAAATTAATTTATTTGGGCTGCAGACAACAATATCCGGGGGGGGCAGCAACCAAAACCATTCACTGGGACCGAAAGTTGCTGTGTTGACTGCCCCAGTTTCAGAAGTGCTCAATTACGGGGGACAATTGGGATGGGAACAGGTGTATGTTCACAACCTGGTTTTACAGTAGACAGGTCGGCTCCCATAGGATATCCCCACTCACCTACTTCCCTCCTACCCTCTGTAGTGAGAGCTCTCCCTTTGTGCACTTTCATTCAAAAAAGCTTGTCTTGTAAGATCTTACACTGGTGGGGCAAAACTGAATTTTGTTTGGCTTACACTGCTGATTCCAATCCTGCTAAGCACAATAATAATACTAATAAATCAGTGACAGAGGGAAAGCAGTCTCCATAAACGGATGTTTATCTAATGAGTACTGCACTGAGTTTAATGAAAGAGTTTCATATCAGATGGCCTTATGTGCCCCAACTACAAAAATAGTTGGGAGAAAGTGAAGGTCTTGGCATCCTATTTATGGAAAATGGATTGAACTTTTGTTTCCTATTGGCAGCGGTGCCACTCTGATGTCACGCCAATGGGTCCAGCTAACGTCCACATCAGCCAAATCAGCTTAAACAGAATTTAAAGTGAGGGAAAATGGATCAAAACTATTTTTAACCAATGTGAGAAGAATGAAATACTGGTGGAGAATGTGGGTCTTGGACCTCTCCATCTCTGTCTCTATTTTCGTGGCACAAGCTAATGATACCATGACTATGATTTAATGAGACATTCTTTGCTTAGATGGCAATTTTAGCCCATTCCCAATTCCATCTATGAATACATTTGAGGACAACGGCCAGATTATTGGGTGAAGCAATTGAAGGTTTTGGGCTGAATGATACCACATTTGAATATAGCCACAAAACGGCGGTCGGCCACCAGTCTTGGACACGCTAACTGTTAAAACTCAATGCAATACCCATCAGCCCCGAAAAGGAGGGTACGGCAACAAATCTCTTGGCCTTTTCATCCCACTGAGACTTCATGCTGGTCTTGATGCTTTCGACTTGATTCTGGCTTTGCCGCAGCTCACGTGCACTTGGGAGGAAAAAGCTCTTAAGAGTGATTTTAAAATTAGGAACTCTGGACCCCATCAAATTATTTAAATGGAAAGTGCATGAAAAGCCTTAAAAAAACTTGCAAAAAGTACTAAAAATAGATCTATCATTAAAAAAATATGCTAAAATTGTATTGGGCTAATATATATATATATATATATATATATATATATATATATATATAGTTTATTTATTTATTATAATGAAACCCTTTTATCTTTGGGTGAATATCTAACCCATCTACTAGGAGGTCCAAAGTCCTTTCGGGAAACATTTTAACAATGCATAATAGAGAAGAGAAAAGATGTGGAAGGTGTCAATCCATGAAATTAACCATATAGCAGCTAGCACCTCAGAAGCTAAGTCAGTTGGGAAATACAGACAAACTCTGGTCCATTATCTACATAATTTGTGCTACAAACACCATAAAATATTGCAAAATGGTTCATAATTTTGAGGGCCTACAGGTGGACATCACTGATGTTCTAAAGGTTGACGTAGCCTTATAAAGCGATACTTACAACTAGACCGCTGAGCAATGTGTTCGGGAAAGATCTGTCCATTATGCAGACTTCACGAGTCATGTGGGGTTAAAGTCATGAGCACTGGTGAATTGTGGGCAGTGGGAGGACTAGACTGTTATTTAAAGGAAGAGCCAGAGAAAAATTCTAAAGCCAGCATGGCAAAATGTCAGACAAAAATAGAAAGGGGAAAAAGCAGAGATGATAAAAACAGCCATCTGAAAGGGAAGGCAGCAAATTGCAGCTTCATTTGTTTTATGGTGAATGGTTTTTAATTGAGGCTGGTTTTACCCTCCTGAAGTGCATGGTCAATGAGTTGCTCCTAAAGTAATGAGTCGATGTCTGCTGGACATACTGCTGATGCACCCCAATGCAAAAATTAGCTTGGCAGAGACCCTGCACTTGTTCACTTTTTATTTCGCTCAATATGCCAGCATACACCGAGTCAAAAACAACAGGAAATGACAGACTAAATGCCTGCTTA